ATGTACTTTAGGCCAGGTCGCCAAGCTGTTTGGACACTTTTTTCAAGTGGCGACAAGCAGATTCGTAATCTACAGGCTTCAAGCTTTAAAATGATACCAAGAAACCTTGGCCACACATGGGGTGCAGCCAACTTGAAAAATAAGCCTCTTTTCAGACTTAGCTTCTAGACTATTATGTTAGTTATCTAAAAACTACTATTAGGAGGAATAAAATATATATTAAAACTACTGAGGATTAAAACTATGTTTCATCATAAAAGTATTAGTCTTACAGACTGGTAATTTAAAATATCTTTGGCAGTGCATGTGGTAGATTGATTAGTCCAGCTCTTTTACCACGATAGCATGGCCAAAAAGTTTTAAATATACAGTTAGTAAGCTTTTTCTGATGTCTAGGAGCCATCGGTTGGATGGATAAATGAAAAAAAACATAGAAGAAATCAGAGAGAGGTAGGAGTGTAGCCATGTCAGCGCATACATTGGATTATAAAAAAAATTCTTCTTAAAACAGTTAAAAGCTATGGTTATGCAAGAGAACCGATGTGTTAAGGGCTCATGCTTAACTAGGAGCTATGGCTTGTAAAAACATATGGTATACATGTAATATTTATTGTGCTTTGCTAAGATTGGGCATTTTTTTCTTAATTACTGCCATAGCCCATCCCCAGTTAAGAACCTAGAGAAATTCCTAGTATAGTATAATGACTGAAGTAAACAAAGTCTATCAATCAAAGGTAAGCATCAAAGATAAGAATTGATAGGTCACTGCGGTTTTCGATATTCTGTGAACTCAGTGAAATTTGATTTTTGATCTGCCATCCATCACAAATAATCAGTCGGTACCTTTTATATTTCAACTGGCATACACAACAAGCCTTTGAGTTTGTATAATATTGATAACCTCATTAAAATGAAGAAACATGTTTATAGTTATCTTAGGAGATGCATAGCAACTATTTTCACAATTAAGTATTTAATTTCCATCAATCAAACAATACTAGCTCAGGAAATTCACCTTTTTGGCACTACCCGTCACGGGGTATAAATTGTTTTAGATTGTGTTACCGTCACCAAAAAGTTTGGACATTGTTCTCAAATTTCCGTACAAATGTACTGACTCTAAATGACCTGTTTACTTGGTTAATGTTTAGTTAGTTTTCTAAATACAAGTAAATAATCATTTTTCTAGCTTGATTAATGAAGCTTTTCTTACTGCTGTTAAGATAGCTAACTAAAGAAATCTACCTAAATTTTCTCTATAAAGTCAGTGAATTTGTATGGAAATCCAAGAACAATGTCCAAACGTTTTGGTGACCGTAACACAATCCAAGCTATCGCCGAAAAGGTGAATTGGAAATTTCCATTCAGGGAAGCCAAAACCCAGATTCTTAAGCTTTAGTTCAATGTCTGGGTCATTTAATTATGAAAATGGGATTAAAAAGAGATGATAAAATCCCAGAGATTAATGGAATTTTTTGAAAACTGGCCTTTTAGCTACTGTAGATCCTAAAACTTACACGGTGTTGTTGTAGTGTCTGCAGCACCAGCAGTAGTTGCCAGAGAAAGACTACTTCTTGCATTACTTCCCGATGAGGGTTGACCAACAGAAGATGGTCCAGATAGTGCACTGGTACTAACTGGTCGTTGTCTTTGGTCATGGCTAGAGCGATTGTCCCTCCGACAAACATCACCATTATTAACACTGTAGCAAAATCATATTCATAAAATTAATCTACTGAATCAGATAAGAAGCGGTGTATTTTGAGATATTTCAGATGAATATCCCACTGACAAAGAAAACCAATTTAAAAGCAAGGTTTTGGCAATTAAGATTTAACTTAACTTGCTGAAGAGTTGGTTTACCAAGTTTGAGCATCATCCACTAAACTGCTCAATTAATTTACTGGCTCCGTATAATAGGCTTATTAGAAACAATAAAACTGCCCACAACACCGAAACAGCGACTCACACTCATTAGACCGATGCCGCCAATTACGCTACTTCGGGTAATTAGGCTATTGTTATCGTGGGTTTTTTAAATATGACCAATCTGACTTTTATTCTTCACTTGACTCTGAAGATGACTTCCGCTCAGGTTGTCGAAACGTCAGTCACATCAAACAATTCTTCTCAGGACTACATCCACCCGGATGATACCATAATACTTTGATTAACATAAGATTTAACTCTCTATTTTTTCTCAAGTAAAAGCAAACGATGACAAAGCTTTAGGTCAGTTGTTGAAACTAGTAAAATATTTTAACAAATTATCGTAATGATATTATTACAGCATCTTGGTACCACCAAAAGTATAATGCCAAATAAGTTCTTCTCAAAAAATAATATTCATGAATTTTCAGAAAATGTGTAAAAAGCATGTTGCATAAAGAATTATCATAGTGTTGTAGAACACTTACGCTGCTCTTGAAGACCCAGCACCATCAACAGCTGATCCATTTGAAGACACCTTCCCTCGCCGCCTTGGAAATTGTCGCATATTTATGGTTAATCCATCAAGGATGACATCCAGGTCTCCTGTCTGTACTTTTGTGCCATTCTTGTTGAACATTATAGGTAGTTTTATGCTACATGCATTTACTGTTGAATAGAAAAATAAATGAAATATGAGAAACTAGTGATAACCCAGGGGTTTCATCAAGGGTCTGGGATCCAAAAATGCTCCAATAAATGAATGCAGTTTTCCAGCTGAAACTACCATTAATAAAGGTTTTGCACCATCATGTGATAGCAGCCATGTTGGATGGCAAGAACACTACAATCGTTTTACATAAGAAAGAATTCAATTCCTAATGGCAAAGAGATTTTATTGTTCTGCCATCCAACTACAGGCAGTCAAAGCTGTATTATGGGCGCCAGCCATGATGGTGCAAAACTTCTATAGCTTAGTAATTTGCAAAATGTTCACTTAGACTCTCCAGCTAGTTCATGACCTTCTCCTATCATTTCAATACTTAATGAAACCCCTGATAACCCAATATGACAGAACATGAGTGACAAAACATGACAGGTCTTCCATGAAGCATTACACATAGTGAAGTGAAGCATGAAGCATGAGGTCATGGTGATTGGGAACACTAAAGAAGTGTTGAGAAGCATTCTGCTACACATTATGCTTCACCTAACACTTCATGTTCTCCCAATTCCCAAAATGCTTTTATAACTGCAAACAACAAGTAGGCAGGTTTTCTAGGTAGAAATTTTCTATTGTATTTGTAGATGTTCTATATAATGTACGTACATTTTCCATTGTTCTTGTGCAAAGTGTCATTCAAGTCAATCTTTGTGCTTCCAAGTGGGACATCACTTTTGAGGGCAAATCTATTGTTGATTTCAAATTCTAGGATACTGTATGGCATTACCAGTCTACAAACACAAAAGCAATATGTGGTTCAGTCATACTTTATCATACCATGACCATTATGCCTAAATGTTACTGGTCAAAATGACCAGCAAGATCCCAGGTCTGGTCAGACATTGTCTGGTCTTATTATTATAATCATTATAACGATAGTTCAATCTAAGCTTACATGGTAAAGGATTCATTCCATACAGGCTCCCATGTTTTCTTGACTGCTTCTGTTTTCTTGGGTGGGGCTTTAGAGTCGACAATGAGCTTGACATAAGGTTCGCCCTTTGAGAACCAACCATTTTGCTCTTTAAGCTTAGCTCTTGAAACTAAAATTTAAAACCATGCATAAGAAACTGTAAGAAATACATAAAACTTTTTCCAATGTATGCTGATAATAAAAAAATCTGAACATTTTATTGATACAACCTCTTAGAATTTCGGTACATTTGCTATTGAATGGGGGAGGGCAGGGGCTTAGGGAGTTGCAGTAAACTTTTTTAAAACTATTGTAGCTCTCCCCCTTTCACTCAGTAAGAAATTTGTGACCCTCCTATTAAATAAACAAGGAAACAGCTTTAATCCAAGTAAAAAGGTTATCCCTCCACAAAAGTTTAGATTTTTACTGGTGAGACTCCCCTCTGAAGCTCCAGTCCTTGCCCAATAAAATAATGTAACTTCCCTTAACAGTTGTCAGTTAAGTCATAATTTTGTTATTGACAATGTCAATCAAATTGCCTACATGTTTAGAAACATTTTTGCTTGACAGAATGTTGGTATGTTTCTAACCAAGTGATCTCACTTCGAAGCACTCAAAGGACTATTTGTCAAATAGAACAGTTCCTAATACCCTGTTTCCTATTTCATAATATCTGACAGTAATCAAAATGGCGGCTGGTGACTAATTAAGGCAACACAGATTTTTCTTACTTTTATTGCATTTAGGCTTTGTTTTTATGAATTTTATTTGCTGATAGGGCAAGAGGAAGCTTTTGTGGTGCATGTAACATAGAATTTTTCAATGTAAAGTTATTGTTCAAGATGCATTTTGAAAAAGTTAAATTGAAATATGGCACCATTTTGAAATTCATCATGGAACTTTTAAAAATGCAACAAAAATGATTGGTTAATAGTAACCGGAAATGCATGCGTGAGATCACCTTCGCCAAAATATAATGCACAAAGTAAAGAAGTCTATAAGGATTTACCTGTGACTTTCAATTGAGAAAATTGACTGTGGAAAAAAGAAAGGAATGGATTAAGAAAATACAAGTGCCTTATGGAATATTCGATGGTTTGCCACTCAAACCAATATTTCATAACTATTTATCAATAAGACAACAGAAAGTCGCACGCCCATGACATTATAGATGCATGCGAGAAAATATAAAGAACGATTAACTAGCTTGTTGAGAGTTCTTTAGATCTATATATCTTAGACTCATGCTTACCTGGATTGTCCAGTACTTGGGGTATCTACCATGACAAATCCGTCAATACACTGTTCCACCGTTTCCTGCAGAGAGGAATCTGTTGAGTGATTTCATTAAGGGTTATATGGTTAGTAAGATTAGAAGGGTTAGGATTAGGATTATACTTGGAGCATTTGGGTTATGAATTGGAAAAATTAAACTCAAACAACATAATGTCAAGGCTGCTTCATTAGATTAGTACAAATGTTTTTATGTTTTAATATTCGTAAGATCAGTAGTTTTAGAAAACATCATAGAATGGTATAATAATTCATGAAACAGTTCTATATATTATATAGAACTAAAAAATACAGTAAATAGCACTAAACAATAGACATTTCACTATGTTGTAATAATTAGTGTGGTATATACATGTACAGTTTCATACATTAAGTGTGAGCACTCTATCAGATATTTTTCATGTGGATTATATTATAGAGTGCAAGAGCTATAGCTGTTTTGGAAACTCCAACTTCTAAGAGTTATACCAAATAAAAGATCCTAAATATTGTACAAGTTATGAAAGAAATTGTTGTAGCCATGAACATATGTAAATTACAGTAGGTTATTCCTCAGTAATCAAAACATACCACAATAAACTTTTTCAAATTTTACAATGGAGATATTTAAAAAAATACACAAATACTCAACATATTATTGTGTTATCCAGATATGCAACTGAAAGTACCTCCTTACTGGAAGATTTCATTTTATAATCTGGATTAACAGGCTCACTATAATAAATAGGATTATTCGTGAAAACTACAAACTATAAGCTAATTGTATTTGTTACTCGTTTAAAAAAATACTGGATGGGTTTTGAGAAATATATCTGAAATTTAATACTTGTTAGTGCACATTCCAGTGTTTTATTTAAAAATAAATATCTCAAACATTCTTAAACTTTGAAAAGCAAAATAGAGCAAATGACTAGGTATATTATGCAACAGCTATTTTGGCATTTCAATTGAGGAATCAATAAACCATAAGGGAAAAAAATACTCATAAAAACTTGTGCAAGGTCCAATATTCTTATCAACTTATCAATGGCTTTTGACTAACTATAGTTGTCAAGGGATCAATACCAAACAAGTATGTGGCATATATATTCCAAACTAGATTGATAATTGATGGTGAAGACATGTATTTACATGGATTTACTGGAAAAACTGGTTATAACATGAGGTGAATGGTTGGACCCGAGTCTGTGTTTGTTGAATCCACAAGCAAATAAAAATTCAACTCATGAATACACCATTCTAGTGATGTGAGGTTTTTAAACAGCATTCTGGCTAGAAGATTCTAGTACTGAGAAGAGTATCCACTCAAAATATTCAACTCAGCTCATAGTTTCAAGATCAATATTTGTGTACATCCTACTTAAATTCACGGAATTCTTAAAATCCAAATTCCTGGCTTCCACGATGACTAGGAATTTGTTGAGTTTGCAAACAAAAGGAAACAAAAGAATTTTAGAATCAATCAGTGTTTGGATTTCACACCACAAGAACCAGTAAACATGAGAAAAACATGAGTGATTTAAAGCATTTAGGTGATAAGATTGATTAATTTGAATTGTGTTTCAAATTGCAAAGAAATTAAACACACAACATTCATCCCTGGGAAAACAGGATGACGGCCATTTGAGAACAACAATTTAAGACAAACACTTAACGGTTGTCATGAAATGTTGTCATTTACTTCAGTAAAATATTTAGAAACTTTAAAAACACTGAACAACAAAATATGTCCAATTTATCTTACCACTAAGTCTATCTACGAACAATTTAAATATAAGATCCTAATTGTATTTCAGACTAATCCCATCAATATTGTCAAGGTTTTTGTACTACAAGATAAAAATCTCAGATCTGTAACTATATTATTCAGATCTTTCAACAGGGATCCCATCTTGTACCGATCAATACCCATAGTTTGTACCCCATATGTGTTCTTTTAACTAGTAACTGTTTGAAGCAATTTGAGCAGCAAATTGTTAGCCAACAGGTGTTGGGGTGTGTATATTGTTATGGTCAAACACAACCCAGCTTGGTCAATTGGAAATAATCTTAACATAGATAACACTATAGCCCTTGTTCAAGCTAACATGTGTTATTTATTTAATATTTTGTATTGAGCTCATTCTGTATTACTTCGTTGTCTTTTTAACAAAGCAAACGTAACAAGACAACAAGAATATGTGGTAAAGGGCAGTATCTCAGATTCAATACAGATGTTTTACTTGAGAATAAGTGAGTAATAACAAATCAATAAATCTGAACAGTTTTGAAGTCAAGAATAAACTGGAATTATTGATCATGTCGAAGCCGAAACAATTGTTCATCTGATGCCTTCGATAAAGAATGTTTGCCCAAAATTTGCCTAGACACGTTTAAAATTTCACACTAAGATAAAATATTCTTTGTTTTAAAGGGAAAAAATTGCTAATCTGCCAAATGGAAGGAGCAATTGTGTCAAAGCGTAGGACACAGATACAAAATATTATGGCGTTTCGTTGAAGCGCCTCAACAGCCGTCTGGAAGGATTTTAATCGAGAACTTTCAGAAGTTTTCGTTAAATTATTCGGCAAATTTTAGGATCCGAATATTTTAGGTCCTTGTTCGATCGAGGGTTAAAAAATTTAAGCTTATGTTCATTTTTTAATGTCCAACCAAGGGAATTCAATATTCTACGATAATAGGGCGATTCCAAGAAATATTTTGGCGCTCGCTGATGGCCTTTAGTCTAAAAAATAAAGAATAACGATTATAAAAATAGTTTCATAAACTTACCTGGTGGTGTTTGAAGATCTATGTTGCTAAGAATTCGGACTGACGATTTTGCAAACTTGCAAACGCTGGCGACGTGGAACTAACAATTGTATTTACCAAGTCTAGTTTTGCGTAACTAAGCTACATTATAACACCATTGCTTTGCCCCTAGGAAGCAAAAAAATCACTATAAGACAACGTAATTATGAGCCTGAGAGTTTAGATTGATAAAATCCATGTTTTTGGGGGTTTTGGGTGACTTGAATATGTTGTCTTGTGTCGAAGACTTGAAGCAATGTCGAAGAGTCTCATCAAAGGCTCGGTTCCTACCGGCTAAAATCACGGAAATATTTCGTCTTTTCCAGGCATAATCAAGTAAATAACAAACTGTTTAGACCTAAGAAACTCTAAAGGTGTTCAAGACGTGATATTTAAGAACAAACCAGTTTCGAAATGTTCATTTATAATCTCAGAGCCATCAACTCCAAATTGCGGAAACAAGGACGAAGGGTCAACTTGCCTGTTTGATGCTCCAACTTTGAATGCTTGAATCTCCAAAAAGACGACACCCAAACTACTAAAACAACTTCCTTTTAACAGCTCTCGTATACTAGAGATGTTTTGAATATTCCACGGTGTCCTTTGGGGGAGATATTGGATGGAAAATACGTTTTTTTCTTGCGAAACCCCAAACAGTTCAGCAAAGAATCGACTTAATATTTCTACTGTGACCGTCTCGACTACGCAAGGCACGTGATCAAATGACGTCATGTTAAAAATGTTACCAAGCCCTCCATACACGGGTTAGTTTTGGACAGGACGATGCTTCCACCACTTCCTTGTTTAATCAATTTAAACTTACCAAATTTATTTCCCTTTCCCGAGAAAAGGAATGCATTAACAAACTAAAACAATTAAACATTTTTACAACAAAAGCTGCGTTGTATTTAAAAAATAGCGATAAATACCAGTTAAAAACGTTTTTCCGTTTATTATTTTTGTACTGGCAGCATTGATGGCTCTATACCATGTATTTAGCTTCCATGTAAAAATGGTTTCTTATTACAATTATCTTTCCTTTACTCAATTATTGCTAATTAAAAATCACATTTGATAGATAGGATAATGATGAAAAGGTAAATTGATAGATATGTTCGATGCAAAAAAAATGCTGAATTACGTAATGAAGTATATATATATATATAGCCCCACCCCTNATTCAAAAGAAAAGGAAAGATCACGCTGCTAAAAGACAAATAGAAACTGAAAGTATTATAGTATTTTAAGTAGCATATTAACTCATCGTTTGAGCTATCTTATACAAAGTTTTTTTTTCTTTCTTTAAGCATTCCTCTTTCGTATCTTTCAACATTATCGTCTTACGTATTTAGTCAAATAATTTCCCAACATTCTTATGTGTTTTTTATTTATCTTATTATTATTGTTATTATTTTATTTATTTATTTATTTGTTTTTTTTTTGTTTTTTTGTTTTTTTGCTTCCGAACATTCCTAGTCAAACTGGAATGGGGAAAAAAACGAATACTACGGGTCAACATCGAATGGGCAAATAAACGAATACTACGGGTCAAAATCGAATGGGCAAATAAACGAATACTACGGGTCAAAATCGAATGGGCAAATAAATGAATACTACGGGTCAAAATCGAATGGGCGAAAAAAACGAATACTACGGGTCATATTGAATATTGGGGGGGGGGGGGGGGGGGGAGGAATGAAAGACTACGCTTAATATTTCAAAAACACTTCTCCCCATTCCAGACCAAGTTGCTCCCCCTGTCCTTCGGATTTCCAAAACGCCGCCCGTGTAGGATTCGCGCAGTTACATTAATTCACATTGTAGGACTGAACAATCTTTGGAGCGCAAAGCTATGAGAATGTGGCTTATTACCCATTATGTTGCGCAATAAATTATTGCTGCGCGCGACGTGGCAAAATAAGCTAACTTCTGAATCCCTCCCTTGCTGATTACCAACACATTCCTCATAAATCTTGAATCGAGAAATGAAGCAAGGTTACATAAAGTAGTTTATTGGTTGTGTGAAAGAAACAAATATAACCGTAAGACAAACAGTGAGAAACTAGAACTTGATACGAGCATCTGTGCTTATAATTTTACTACTCTTTCTATCAAAAGACTCCGCGACACCAAAAGTTTCAGCTGTTAATCCTCAGCAAAGGATTATCTAAGAAGGGACTTGGCTGCCATGAGCAACATCTTCAGGTTTCTTTGAGTGATCCCTGAGCAATGCCTAATCGCATAATCCAACTGTTGGCAAAGACCTTGGAGGACCCCTGGTAGATGTTCTCTTGTCACTTCGTTATTTACGTCAAGCAACATAAGGGCTTCTGTGAGGTACCTAAAATGTCACAAAGAGAATATATCAACTGAGTATTGCGTGATCCAGATGCGAGAGAATTTAAGCAAAGTGTAAAAAAGTTTGGAAGTCTAATGATGTTCTTGGTCGGAGTAAGAGGACCAGGAAAGCCGAATTACGATTGAATGTACTGCTTGAAATATAGGAACATTTACTACTTCAATGCTACGAATCATAGGGTGCGTATTTTCTTTTAGGAAGATTAGTTTTATCCTCTGTATAAAACAACCCTATATCATAGTTAATAGATTCCCTTCGATTAACTATGCCTAAATCCAAACACTTGCACACATATATCAACGGCAAGCATTTCACAAAGAAGAGTAGGAATCACATCTACGTTTTTACGCAGTTGCCTGACGTGCAGACTGCGAATTTATCTTCAATACAAGACCCAGCTAAGCCTGCGATTCTGCTGATCAGATGCATGCGCATCCACTTCTCCTTCAAGATACTTTCTTGTGCACCGCATTACATTGCAGTTTAACGATCTTTTTCCAAGAGTCTGTGCTTGGGCTCCCTTTTTCGCGCATAAACTTGTATCTCATGCGCAATCGTTAAACAAAGAAATCATACTCTAGGGAAAGAATCGGGGTCTGAGACGTGGAAACATTACTCCTAAGGTAAAAGGGCCGATTATGTTACCTGTGCTTGAGTTCGGTGTTGGAGAGCAAATCGACAGATAGCTGCTGAATCAGGGAAAGCAACACTGGCTGGGGCAACTGATTCTCTGTCTGCGAGAACAGATCATTACTGTCTACACCTTCGCACACAAAGACCACAAGACTCAAGTCGGCTGCTGTCAACGCCTACAGTCAGATGAATGAATATTAGTCCCCATTAAATGCACGACCAAAAAAAATGGTAGATGACTGTTTTGAGCGAACGAAATGCCTCGCAGTCGAAATTTGAGGGGCGGAAGATGACAAGGGTCCACAAAGCAGGTTCTTATTCCCGTTTTTATGACTATCCCCCCCCTGGATGGAATGAAAGTCCATGGCAGGTTAACTCACTCGCAGTATTTTGCCTGGATAAACCTCCCCCGTATTAAGGTACCTATTACTCATTTACACCTATTTCAAAAAAAAAAGGTTGTCGGAGCCAAAGGAGATACAGTCAATTCAAAAAACGTTGTCGTCGACCGGTTCAAGCCTACGCGACTGGACCGAAAGGAATATGGGTAAAAATCACTGAAGTGGTTAAATATTCGTTCTGAATTAATTGTTCCCGCTAGTAATAAAGATAATATTGGCGAGAAACAATCCATCAAATGCATGTCTTTGGGTTTAGGGAAAGAAAAACAAACTAGTTATGATTCAGTTCACAATTTTGAAAAATATGAAGGCATTAAAAAAAGTCTCCTTCAACACTTCCCGCTCGCCTACGAAGGTTCGTGCTGTAAACAAGGCATAACTAGTCGGATAAAATTATGGAGTCAACTCGGCTTCAGTGATTGCTACCCAGAGTTCCTTTCGGTCCAGTCGCGTAGACTTGAGTACCCTGGTCCCAGAGGCTCGACGAGAAAAATCGTCGAGCCTCTGGGACCAGGGTAAGACTTGAGTTGGTCGACGACAACATTTTTTGAATTGACTGTATCTCATTCCGAGACGGAAAGGAATTACCAGCATACAACTAAACATGACTAATTGAGGCCTTCAAAATTATTTTATCGACTGCAAACCAAAATGAATCTCTTAAAAATAACTTCCTTGTTCTTAACGAGTTTTATAACGAGGAACACAAGTCAATTCAGCTATTCTTGGATCTTGGAATGATCTATCTCGTATCGCTTATCGCCTGTGGCTTGAAATGGGTGTACAAGATTGACTTTGAGCCTGTGAGGACATTTGGACAAACTTATAGCAATATTTGATATCCAAAGTTCAAACGTTTAAGAGGCACTTTACCGTCTCTTCTCTAAAAGATATCAAGTTTTAACCGGGGATTTAAAGTCTACACTACCACAAACACTTACTTCTTGGAAGGCTTGAGGAATATGACCCGCCTTGAGAAGATCACTGATGCGTTTCTGAGGGAAAAGAGAATATTATATCAGTATTAAATATATACAATTGCATATCTCATGAGGCACTTGTATTTACTATTACGTATACACACTTGCCTGAAGACAATGTTTTTCACAAAAAAATTCCATGGTGTCTCACAAGAAAGTGTTGAATAAATATTTTATTCTACACAATTAAAAAACACCTGGTTGCAATACCTGATGGGAAGGAACAGTGGAATACCGCCGAATATGTGTATACGAATCTCGCGTTCTCATTGGATGGGAACGCGTGCTTTTATGAGAGCACGCACTTGTTATTTGTATCCAAAATAACGGTTACTCTAATTTTTATTTCATAAAAGAAATAAAAAACTTGCTTGCTGTCATGTGTGTATTTATAAAGCACTTGGGGATTAGCAAAACACTCGAGAAGTGTTGAAAAGCACTAACACTTCTCTCGTGTTCTGCCGATCCCCGCGTGCTTTCTACCTACACACAGCACACTATCCTTCAATATATATAATGGAAATTTAGAAGTATTGATTTTTGCAGTAAACGTTTTTGATCACAAGAAATTGTCAACTTTCACATGTTATCACTACCCATAAACAATCTCTTGGTTGATTTAAATCACGGCTATAACTCAGAAATCAAATTTAGCTTTCCAATTAGGCTTTGCGGAGGGACGAAAACCGGAGAAAAAGACCTCGAATCAAGGGAGAGGCCTAACAAACTCTACTTACGTGTGATTTCAAGTCAGGAAATCAAACCCGAAACCCCGAGGTGAGTGGTGATTGCACTAATGCTACAACACCCTTGAAACACAATTTCCTTTATATTCTTATGACACTAAGCTACCTTGTGATCTACGCTGACTTGCTGTGGCGTTGCCGTTGCCGTTTCTTGTGCAACAGCTGTATTGTATGTCTGGTGCATCTCTTGTAGAGCCTGTTGAACCTCTGCCTTCACAGTTTCTTGTAGAGATGCTTTGACTTGCGACTCAAACCGCGAAACCATTTCTTCACGCAAACTAATAAAAACAAAGATGATAATGTTCAATTATGTTCAAGTTGTTTCTAATTTTAGTGTGAAAATGGAAAAAATTGTTATCCACTCTGAGAATAAATAGGCGGCGGGAAAAATAGAAATGACATACTATGATTTTATTTACTTGGAGTTTTAAAATGTAATGTTAATTTGAACTAAAACAGACTGAATTGTTAACGTCATTTCTGTTGTTATCGTTGCTGCTGCTACTGTTCAGTGTTGCACTAGTATAAAACTTGTTACGCAAATATATAAATAAATAAACAAACAAATAAATAAATAAACAAATAATTAACTAATTAACTAACTGAAGGAAGGAAGGAAGGAAGGAAGGAAGGAAGGAAGGAAGGAAGCCGTTCAGACGCCTCCTTTGTGCCTTACCTGTGTAAAGCAGTAGCCAGTTGTTTCTGTATTACCGACTCCACCTCCTGGATAAGGTTAGTACTATCTTTCCGAGACTCAGACCTTAACAGCTGCAGTTGGGACTGTAGCTGTTCAAAGGCTGGTTCGAGGGATTCTCTCTCCCCTCGCTTCTGTGATTCAATAGTCATGGTTACCTTCTCTAAGTCTGGAAAGTAACAAGCGATTTAAAAGTGGCTATCAATAAACCTCAATTTCTATCCGAGGTACCTTAGTTCTTTTATTTATATTGCCGTGATAAAATCGGTACTTAGGGAAAGAATAACAAACACTAACCCATCGGATGGGGTTCCACAAGGATATACCTTTGGCCCCCTTCATCCTAAAACGTTTGGCAAGAAAGAAAGATTTTTACAGCTTTACCGTCGGCTGTGGGATTCCACAAAAACCTATCGCGGGTTAACGACTTTTACAGCTTCATAGTAAGCCGTGAGATTGCTCAGTGGTTTATTTTTGGTCCTCTAATCTTCTTATTGGTTTCAGCAAGCTGCGGGATTCCACAGAGATCCATCCTGGGTCCCTTAATGTGCCTTAATGATTTTCGCAAACAAATGTTAAGTAATAATTTTCGCATCGTTCCGAATCCCCAAAGTCATATCTTGCTCGCCATCCTACCTTCCTAAAATTGATTAAGATGTTCACTTACACTGATGTGTTCCCTTTTGGAACGCGTCATTTATTTGATGGAACATTGCTTGGCAAGCTCTTTCAAATGCTGGCAAGACGGTATTCTGGAATGCATCTCTATAAGAGTCTTGGATAGGCCCCTGAAGAGCACTGGCTGCCGAAGTACCAATAGCCTCTATTACGCCCTAGAAGAACAAAGATTCTTCAAACTACTGTCGAAATTAAAGACGACCTTTTTCTCTAGATTGCGCATCAAGTTTGACAGGCAAAATCAGGTATTCTAGAATCCTAGAATATCATGCAGCGATTTTTATGTTCAACTTTTACGTAAATTACCTTTTTTGCTGTTGAATTTTTTTAAATAAAAAACGACTAAGTATGGTTTGAACTCTAATAATAATAAATGGACTCATTATCAGATACGAGTCATCCTCTTTCTTTCTTTCCTTTTTTTCTTTTTCTTTTCTGATTAATTGTTCTTTCTTTCTTTTTTGTTAGCTTGTTTTAGTTACATTCAGCATTAACGGTAGACAAAGAAATAATACCCAAGTGAAATAACACATGAACTGAACTGGAAAACCTATGAATGATGTGTAATGTTTTCTATATATTCGTTCGTTACCTTATTCTTGACCATCTTGTTGATACTGTCCTTCAGTACGGCATCAGCAGCAGTCAATTTCTAAGGAAATAAAGTGATACAGGTTTAACAGAAGTCCAAATAAAGTGCAAGTGGGAAGTGGTTTGTAGGCATGGGGGATATCTTATATTGGCTAAATACAGAAGTCAATAACTGTTTTGGACTTCTGTATTTATAATAATCTTTATTGAGGTTATCGCTGTCACCATAAGGTGATTTACAAGAGAGACCTATTTAGCCAATATATAAAATGATTCCGCATGATTATGACCCACTTTCTACTTGCACGTTATTTGTAAATGTAAGTGATATAGAGAGGGAAGGGAGGAAGAGAGGGAAAGATGATTTTTTGAGATCAGAGAGAAGCAATCCCGCCTCATGGGAATAACGGCTTACGTAGTTTAGCGGTGAGAGCGTTCACATTAGACTCCTAGACTCGGTGTGGTATGTGACCAGAGCTACTCGTTGCATGGTTCTCTCGTGCGCCTTGAATGGTTTTCTCTGGGTCTCCCTGTGTTCCTCCCTCCACAAAAATCAACTGCCGTCTAAATTTCAATTTCATCATGGAACGACGGCCATAAAAGGTTTGGTTTTTTTTTTACTTTAAAAATTGTTTCCCTCGCAAAACAATATAATAGTAAATAGGAATACACCATTGACCATTCTCTTTTCCATAATATAAATTTTCCATGTGAACCTGGCTTACAATACCTGCTGCATGGTTGTAGTAAGCTGCTCTTGTACAGGTGCCAAAACTTTTTGCACGGCTGGTACAACGTTATTCTTCATTTCATTTTTCAGCGTTTTGTCCAGTTTTCCTGTTATGGAGTTGGTCACAGCCTGGGACAGAGTGCTGGTGAGATGTTCTTGCTTCTTCTTGTCGGCTGTTTGTCGTTCGCGCAGCGCCTTGTCGAGCCGTTGATCTGGTTTACTTGATGTAAGAATAATCACAATCCATCGAAATATATCACACTTTTCTTTCAAAATAATACACATCAACCCATTCCAAAACTAGCACTGAAATGCCCACCCTTATTTCATATAAGGAAACTTTTTAAATGATTCCTAAATATTTCAAATAAAAAGGACGTTTCTTGGAGTATGCCAAGCGACCTACCCAATGGCGCATCAGTACTTGTTTCCGTTTCCTGCAATGCACTTAGTATCTATGATAAAAATTGCACAACCTTCACTCCCCGTAAGGGGCTCTTTCGTGAAGTTCGCTTCAAACGACACTAAACTTACATGTTGTTTTTTTAAAGACTATACACAGCGGTGAGAGTTAGAGCAGATGCCACTTATCATCTAAACTCTTTAAAAAAACGCGCGCAAAAACATTCAAAACTGTGTATGCTGCATCAAGGATACTCTCTTCGATGCTGTGCTGTGCCAGTCCACCATTGACCCTCTCTAGCGTAGTCTCTTCTAGTTTCTCCACCTCTCCTCTGACCAAGTCGCTAATGGTCTGGCGGTTGTGCGTTTGGTATGTGTTCACTTCCTGCCTGAGAGTCAAGATATGGGTCTGCTGGGATTGGACAAGTTGAAGTAGTTCACTGAGGGTGGACGACAAGTCCTGGATAAAAAGATACAAATAAACAAGTTTTATCTTTCAGATGCCACATAGGTGGGTGAAATCTCTATAGGGGTGTACCAAAGGGGGTACCCAGGGGTTCTCTTCTATAATGCGACATAATGAGTTATTCAATTTCTTCATTTTACCAACGAAAAAGAGCAACAAAACTCTGCTTCGTCTCGAAGGCAAGTTGTACGATTTTGCTCGTGTGATTAAGAAGCGCTGTAAACCTTAAAAAGATATCATTTCTATGGTCTTTGAGAAAATCGCGTTGGTCTGTCGTATATATTTTTTCTCACGTTTTCTCAAACTGTTTCAAGCAAGGGTACCGGTTTGTTTTACGAACCTGATAGTTTTCTCTTGAAGACTCAGGAGGAATGTCAACTCTAGCTACAGGAGATGAGACAAGACTGGAAAAAAAAACACTAATGCTTATTGCTTGACAAAATCAAGAGCATAAGTAATTACAGTGACAACTTTAGGACCTTGCCTGTTGTTCATTTTAGAATCAAGGGAGAGACCCAACAATCTCTATTCACATTTGATGCCAAGTTAAGGAATTGAAACCTAGGCTCCAGAGGTGATCACGACAGGCGAAAGCACTACCGCTACACCACCCTTGATTTGCATACATTGGCGGGTCCAGGGATCGCAATCACGAGGAACGAGGTAAGGGATTGTCAAGAGCTGGACTCACTTTTATGGACGTGCGCGCAGCAAAACGAAACCAGTAGCGGAAAGAGACTGGTAACGATAAAAGTTTTTTCTTTCATTTTTTTCGTGCGCGTGCGCAGTATTTTTATTTTCGACATATAAATCATAATTAGTGAGTAAAGTGGGTCCAGGGGTGCTTGCCAATTAAACCTATCCCACTGGTTGGAATATTTTGCTAATAGTAAGAAAATTGCGGGGAACTTTAAATCCCGACAAATGGTACACGTTTCTACCGAAAGAACCGAACAGAGCAGGAAAAGTGGATTACCTCAATCAGAAGATCCAAGTTTTCCGGAACTTTTGGATCGGAATGATGCACACCTATTGTTTTTCAACGGGAATACCGTTTGGGGGGGGGGGGGGTAAATAGTAAGCACCCCAATTCTGGACTAAGTAAGAGACGGCACATCAGCTAGCTTACAATACCGGTGCGATCTTATCATCAATAGATACTTAAAATCCGTAAAGCCAATTAACGACTCTTAAAACTCCAGTGTATGCGGGCCTAGCCTCGAATCCAACAGTTGCTTGTATTGTTATTCTGATTTCTGCTTTTGTTTACCGACCTCGTAAGTGAGGCTAAGCTCGCATACACTGGAGTCTTAAGAGTCGTCAATTGATCTAAATAGGATCACTTACCCCTGTTCAAGGACCATCTTTTTAGTCTTCATCACATTTACATGTGGCGTGTGATCACGAGGTGAATGTCTATCACTGGCAGTCATCCAAGAACTGTCCATAGTAGATTTGTCTTCTATCGGGGTGTTTTCCTCAGATACCTCATCTTGGCCATAAGGTTCTAAAGGAATAATAATAATTGTACCTAGTGGTGGTCAGGAGTCTTTTTTTTTTTCGAGCAAACGTTAACAGCAAGCATTTTAACGCTTATCAGGGTTCTACTTTCACAGTTCACCGCTAAGTTTCAAAAGAAATCACTTTTTTTTATTTAAGTGTCTAGTCGTTCTAGCGCTTTCGCACTAATTACTACTACATTTAATATTCTATGCACACAACGCTCAACTCACATATTGATTTTTACGGAGGGAGAAAACCGGAGATCACGGAGAAAACCCTTGTAGCATAGGAGAGAACAACACATGAAATAAATTTAAGACAAGAGAAGTCAAGAGATATCGCTTACCATCACTTTCAGTTGATTCTGATTTGGTGACTTTTGTAACAGCAATAGGATCTTTACCAACAGAGGCCGGGGATGGCTCCTCAGCCTGCTCGCTCCCTTCCACTGTAACATCCGCTACAGGAGTCAAGGATCGTTCCTCGCCATCCGAGTCCTCTGCTCTCTCTTCCTTTGCTTCAACATCAAGACCTAAGCCGTCTCCTCTAGGGTTTGGGTGGAACAGAGTTTCAGTATTCTTGGGTGTAATTGGTGATGACTTGAATGTAGGTATAGGCACAGCAGCGGCGTCTGGAGCCAAAGAGAAAGGAGGAGTAGCCGGTAGAGGTAGAGACGTTGGGGTCAACACACTACTTGGCTGTCCAAAGAAATTCTGTGGCACTGTTTCTTGTGTACTAGATCTGGTGCTATCGGAGAGCCTTGAGGTGACTGACGACATGACAGATTCCTCTACAGAATTCTGTGAGGCCTCGAGGGCAGAGACTAAAGTACCACTACTGACATTACTAGCATTACTTTCTGGGCGTGATGCGTCTTTTGTGGTATGAGTGAAGGCATCTGGTGCAATGAGTTTAGGTCTTGTAGATGCGGAGGTGTCTGATGCAGCATCGGATTCATCAAGGTCTACACTGGCTTCCGTTCCCGTTCCTGTCTCTACACTCAGGTCTGACAGTGCGTCTCTGGCCCCTATAAACCAAAGTGGACCAATAAATCAAGATGTTAGTTCAAAGGAGAGCTGGTCCAGAGGTACATTGCTACCAACTAGCTGATCGCTTGATGAAGGGTGTCACTAAATAGAGGCTTGTCTTACAGTAAATATGGTGTAAAAACCAAGCTCGTGCAACTAGCTTTCCGTTTAATGAAGGTTGTCTGCTAGTAAACAGAGGTTTGTGCTACAGTAAATATTACCATGAAACTAATTCAGGGTTCGTGCTGAGGTAACCACTTAAAATTCTAGGACTAGTTCAAAAAGGTAGGTAGGTTACTTCATTTTGACACGGTAAAAACATCAGTTATACATACATATATATCTATCTAGCAGTGGCGGATCTAGGGGTGGGTCTTGGGGGTCACAACCCCCCTATGAGATCGTGATTTATTATTATTATTATTATTTCATGACAACACCAACAGCATCGCGAGTTTTATTAAAACAGGGGTGCCGAACACATTTCGCTCGATTTTTTTTCCTATACGCCGTGTGTGGGATCTGAAACAACCACGCTCGCCTGCAGCAAATAATCATTATCATAAGACCTTCTTCCGTTTGGGAACCCTGTGCTACTTTCCCGCCAAACAAGTACCTCAATCAATGCTTCAACCCCCCCTTTGAAAAAATCCTGGATCCGCCCCTGCTGAGGTTAGAACTAGTTTGCCAACACCTTTCTTAAATTGAGATGTTGATGCTGACATCCTTAGTTCAGTTGGTAGTTCATTCCACAAAGCTGCACCACTGTAGCTAAAACTTTTTTTAACTTTTTTTTTGATAATCGGTGCGAGGCTTGGGAATGCTATGTTTAAAAAGGAGTATACAAGGACCCAAAAATGAATTTTCAAGGAGTATGTTCAGCTAACTATGCCAAGGTTTTACACGGTGGTTGCACATGGCCGACTTTCAGATTTTCCGATCTTTCTGACTAGATCTATTTCAGAACCATGCAAGGAATGATCAAAGCAAAAATTCAAGGAGTTTTCAAGGAGTTTTGCTAAAACAATAAAATTCAAGAGCTTTTCAAGTGCCCTTGAAAACGTGAATTAAATTCAAGGAGTTTTCAAGGAGTTTAAGGAGTAGCACGAACCCTGCTAATTGTTCATTTAGCAAAGGGTGTCGCTCAATAGAGAATTGGAATAGATGTACGGAGTAAATATGGGGGAAGGGGGAATTAGAACTGTGAAACTAGCTGTCGGCTTAATATTATATCCAATTTACATTAGTGTAATTAGTGGGTTTACCTTGCCCAATACTTGTGTTCAATGAAGAAATAAGAGAAGGTGTTGGTGGAGCTACTGATGGTTCTGGCTTTAGATGAACAAGAAGCTCCTGCAAAGACCTAAACAACAAAAACAACACCATCATCAAGCAATCAAGTAGGGGAAAAAGGGCTCAAGCTTGGGCTTAACGTTTTCCCATTTCAGACAATGTGTTTTTTCATTCACAAAGTTTATAAATCATAAGCAACCAAAAAAGTAAGAAATGAGAAGACTATTTCAAGTCTTACATTCTAATAAGAATATACATTAGAATAAGGTCAAAACAGCATTGTCAAAAGTATTGCGTGCTCAGATTTATGACTTTTTGAAAAAATATAGCTCACTTCAGACAAAATTTTATCTTCAAGGGTTGTAGAAATCGCCTATCACTCTGTGGTTTCAAAAGGTTACTTAGGAACAATGCCCGAAAATGCCTCGTTTTATATCTGCAACTATGATATTTATGAAAGCGCTCACCCATATCAAAAAAAATCATCTATTTGTGGTGCCCAATGTAGAGAACCTGTGCCTGGGCCACCCAGTACCAACTGTATGTCACATTCTGTGTTTTGGTTAATAATTGATATGTACTATAGCCACTGTGATACTATGCCGCAGTATTCTATTTTTTTGAAACTATCCAGCTTATAACTCCCTTGGGATAAATAAATCTGTTCATATGCTTGCTAAATGATGTATCGTGAATGGAAATAGTCACTACAGATACCCAGTAATGAGAATTTTAACAGGCTTTTTAATGGGGGGGGGGGGGGGGTTATCTACTGGTAGGTTCTGTTAGTTGATAGATAGACACTTTTATTAAAACTTAAATAAAGACATCAGGGTAGTCCAGTCAGTAGCTACCTACAGTATATCCCTCTGATATCAAAAAGAGCCCTGATACACGTAAACCTAATTCAAAAAACGCTGTCATCGCCAATAACTTAATTAAGGCAATAGGCAATAGAAAAAGCGATAGGATATATGTCAATTCAAGATCCAAGAATAGATGGAATGACTTCTTCTTCTTCTCGTCAAAGTATGGACCTTCGTGCTGAGACTGATTTGATGTTCTTTGTATTCAATGAAAACATTTCCATATGACAATGTTTTTTGGATTAGGTGTATACAATATACAGCTGGGATTTGGGTCTTTGTTCACAGTTTTAATGGTCATTTACTCACTTGGTATGGATGGAATAGAGCCTTAGCTGCACCATGAGATTCTTTCTTCTCTCAAGGGAATCCAGCTCACTCTCATCCAATTCCTCAAGGTTATCAGCATCATCCATGTCATCATTGCCATCTTCATTGCCATTCTCTTGTACTAGCTGGTCAGTTCTCTTGAGCTTAAAAAGCTTTACTTTTGTGATCACAAAGCTGAGGAGTGGTTGGGTGAGCTGGAAGTCTGTGATGGAAGAAATGTGAGCTCTTCCTTCACTTCTGTCTTGGTGAATAAGAAGTACGTACAAAACCTGATAAAAAAAGATGTGAAATGAATGAAAATGAACTAATGAAATTGGAAAAAAGGGGTTGGGTAAGATGGAAGTTTGTAATGGACGAAATGTGAGCTCTCCCCTCATTCCTGTCCTGGTGAACAAGAAGCACATACAAAACCTGTACATAAAAAAGATGTGAAATGTGCATAAAAAAGATGGGAAATGAATGCAATTTGAATGCAAAGTGGTTGGGGTAACTGTTATACTCTGATGACGAGCTGTTTGTTTCTATTGTAATAAGTGAAAAAATTTTAACAAAATAAGTACAATGAAAAAATAGGTAAATGAATAATATGTAGATGATGGCTAGTAAACACTAGCGTGGACTGCGTCGGTGTTTCTAATAAAACAGTTATCGTAGAATGATAAGTTATACACCGTAGTGAAAATAGTAACTGACGTTTCGGACGTTAGTCCTTCGTCAGAGTCAATTGATTGACTCTGACGAAGGACTAACGTCCGAAACGTCAGTTACTATTTTCACTACGGTGTATAACTTATCATTCTACGATAACTGTTTTAAATGAATAATAGGATAAGAGGAATTTAGAAAGACATGGATTTGAAGACAGTGCCAGTGAGTCTGTTCAGGTGAGTGATAGTTGAGTAAATTAGTAAAATTATGTAACCTCCTGAGTACCAGAACCAAAGAAAGAGAGCAAAGAAAAATACTGTTCCTCAATTTAAAAAGTGTTGCAATGTGTGGTCTCAGAAAATATGCATAAACCACAATGGAGGAAATCAGGAATTCCCAGGGGGTGGCTTTGTGTTGAGTGAGTTTTGTTTGGGTGGAATAAGGAAACTTTCTGGAACCATAACTTTTAGTTGCATACCCGTCGTCCAATGTCTGACAATACCAAGTATCTTGCTGTGGCATCCAGCTGAAGTTTGAAGTATGAATCACCTAGAACACTGTACATCAAATGATAAGAGAATATTGAAAATAATAATGGGAAAAAAATGTCCATGTTGTGAAATGAAACAATATAAAGTTTTTTCCATTGGAAAATGATTTTTTTTACCAGAGAGAAAAAAAAACAAACTATTGTAGTTCTGTCATAAGTAAGAATTATCATACTGCCGAAGTATCACTGACAGGATAAACAAATAAAACAGCTTTTTCCATGCTCTGTTCAGTAATAAAGCACGGAGGAAGTGGCATAAGCATGAAAGATGTTTAGTGCTTTATTACTGAACGGAGCACAGAAAAAGCTTTTTATTCGTTTTATTATATAGTTACTAATTTTATTTTGGTATTGAATTCATTTATGCAAAAAGAAAGAAGGTCACAGGATCTAGCAGAACCTCGCGCACATGGAAGGCGTCAGCACAGTTTTCAACCAATCAGCACGCATGTACTATCCTAACTATATAATAAAATGCATTATGTACCTGGAAATATCAGCGGTTGGGCTAGTAAATCTGAAACAGAAAAAAGAAAGTGAATTCATACTGTATATATAATTATAGCATAACACACATATCTAATATATTACAGTGCAGCGCTTCTTATAGTGGCCAACCAACTTATGTTTTTACTAGTTAGCCAATCAGACAGTGAGAATTTGTGCATTTGCATGAGAAATCACTCAGCATGAATACAAATATTATTAAGATCATTTTGTACTCTTTGCAACAAATTGTTTTTAAATAAATGGCTAGGAATTTGTCTAGGTGATACCTATTTTGGTCCCCTTGCTGGCTCTTTCGTAAAACAGTTTTTTAATGGATGGAAACAATTGGCAGGAAAGGATTCAACAGCAATGGTAAAGAAATAAGCAGGATGGCCTCGGATAGGCACATTTTGCAGTCCAAACCAGGGATTAAGTTGAATGTATACTATATGTTAACAATACCTTAGCCTGCATAACAACCCAAAGGGCTGGGGCTTGGGGGCTGTAGGATAGGGGGGTGGGGAGGGGGGGGGGGGTAAAGAGGACTTAATAATACCTTAGTGTTTGCAGACAAGTCCATTCAACAGTACACCAAACCTTGATTTCTCTGTTATATTCTGCACCAGTGATCATAAACCTCCACATTGGAACACTGCGTTTAACAAGATAAATGATATATAAATATTTGGAAAACATAATAACTATTACACACCTTGACTTTCTCAAAGTTTATCTTAGTGCTCCCACTCTGCTCTAACTAATGCTCACTTTGCACTCCATACTAACCACTCATCACAATACGTTATTGAGTGCACCTTGAAGCAAGGCAAAATATTGCACTTCATGTATGGGGCAATAAGGATTACTCTTCATTGGTTACACCTTTTTTTCAACCTTCTTCTCCAAATCCATCATAATACTCACTCTTTCTCATGCTCAATGTGATTATCACAGAATGCTATTGATGACAAGGGTGCTCCATCATGAGGTTGGAATGCATGTAGGCATTTATGTTCTGCCTCTGGCATCATGTCTGCAACCTGCCAGAACTTCACATAGCCATCCTCACTTGCCGTGGCCAGGACAGCATTGTCAGGAGACAATGACCCATCTGTGATTGGCTGGAGTTAATTAATAAAAGCATACCTAAATTTATTATTGCTCACTAAGTAAACTCTAAGGATAACCATGGGTAAAGATTACAACCCAAATTTCTGTCCATCATTAACCTATATGGACATCCTACCTGGCTTGTTCTTTTGCAGACACTGTGCCACTAAGTTAACAACCACAAACAGCCAATTTGTTTCCCCAGTCAATCTTAGCACTATATTTACTAGATACCAGAGGTGGGCTTACAACAGGGTAGGGAAAGGATGCTTAGGAGTGGAAGGAAGGGAGGGGGGGCCGGGGCTTATAACTGAGATGTTATTGTATAATACAGAGATTTTGAATGGCAAGTTAAATACTAGGATTTTGCTCATGACAGTTAATAACTTTAATAACCGCAGCGTTGATATGCCACAGATCTTAATAGACACTGTAACTGGTTCAACTTCAGTCAATTTATACCTCCCTACCAAGGCTGGACATGACGGTATGACTTTTTATTACCTGAAATCTACTCTGTTAATGTAAGCTTACCTTGGTATGACCATCAATAATGGAAACATATCCCTCGCCTTGTTCCAGCATGTCTACTGTAACTTCATTGCAGTCGCATCTTGCAACAACCATAGCAACATCAATGACTTCGGCCTATGAATTACAGTCAGAACATTATACATCTATATCAACTTGGATGTGATTATAATGTTAAATGATGGTGATGATGGGAATGATAAAGATAGTTTTGGTAATGATGAATGGTGACAGCACTGGTGATAATGAGGATGAGAATAAAATGATGATCATGATCATGCTGGTGGTGGTAGTGGTGAGGATGATGATGTTGATGATGGTAGTAGTGTTGGAAGTTCTGATGATGATGATGATGTTGTTGTGGTGGTGTTGTTGGTAGTATTGGTGATGATGATGATGATGTTGATAGTGGTGGTGGTCATGGCGTTGGTGATGGTGATGATGATGATCTTGATAGTGGTGGTAGTGATGATTTAGAAGATGATGTTGATGGTGTTGGTGAGCCAATGGTTTGTTAACTTACCAGGTTATCATGGGTGATGGCTAAAGATCTGTCATCAACATCATCCTGTCCTCCTTCATCGTCTTCATCATCAGGTAGATAAGGACACCAAAATATTCTGTGATACTCTGAAACAGGAGTTGGTGAGCGCTTCACATGCAGTTTGATTTTATATCTGGAAACAAGATTGTCAAGGATGTGTGCAAACATCCACAATAATATCTGATCTTCTAATCTTTAAACATTTATACTCTGTTCTGTCACGCAAGGCAACAAAATATCAAACTATATTTTTTTATTATTTCGTGTTTGTTATGATGATCACTTCAATTTGCAAAGTCCATAGCACATAATGTACGTTTAAAGTGAATTTAAAAGAATTTTGCGCAAATATGTATCATTAATTCATGGTGAGTAATAGACCTAGCTTTCCTGTTCAACCATGAAACTATTGAGCTATTATTTCGTGGTCATTCAAGGGAATTTTTGAAAGCTCTGTTGGTTAGTGAACTGACATCTTAACTATTTGTCATCAAGGATTAAGGGATTATGAAAAGGGGTCATGACTGTAAATCTTCCCTACGAGATATACTTGTTATCATTTTCACCAACTTAACATTCTAAAACCTACCAACTATTACCAAACACTTACCGACCACATATCAACAGCCAACTACTTACACTATTAGTCATTCCAAGGTTTAGTAAAAACAATGGGTAGAGTTGGCATCGAAGTACACTGTGAAACTGTATTAGGGGACATTTCCAATATGGCAAATATTTCATTCCCTAAAACATCCCACAATGCACTGCAAAGCCAACTTGGCACAGTTTTTTCCTCAGCCTTACTGTATGGATTCCTAAAAATTACCAAGAATTGAAAATCAAACGCAGTCTAGAAACTTTCACAAATACAGTTTGGTTTTAGTAAGGATACTCTATCTTATCGCCCTGCTCTCGGACATTCCACACAAATACATTTCCTCCTTCATCAACACATGCCAGGGTATTAGAGTTCCTGTGTGCAAAGGCCAGGTCTGTTATGAGACCAGTAAAACCTTTGATGAGGGCACGAGTTGCTGTTTGGGGGTTGAGAAGCCGAACGACATAACCACTACGACCTGGAAATGTGAATAAAAAATAAGGAAAATGAGCTGCATTTTATTTTTCATTGAACCCTGAAACAACCTGTCTGACAACTGGAAGTCTACAGGATATGACTTCTAGTTCAAGATAAATTAGATTTCAAAATATCTGGGATTCAAAATACAACCTTGGGGTTCAAGATATGGGAGTCTACTGTCCCC